GGGCGGCAAACTCTGGCACGGAGAGGAGAGGACTCAGCCTGCGGGTCTCAAGCAGGCAGCTTGGGGAAGAGCTTTAAGCCTTCTGTGGTAGGCAGAGCAGGAGGCAGACAGAGAGTGCAAGCTGAGGCGCGCTCTCAGTCTCCTGAAGTGGCTTGTGCTCAGGAGGCAAGGGAGCTCCCTGCTTTTGGCAGGGGAGAGGAGACAGCTGAGGATCCAGGAGGGAGCTGGAATCAGGGGGATCACCTTGCAGCTCCTAACTCGGAGGAGTATTTTCTGTAAAAAATAGAAAAAAAAGAGAAATCTCTCCAAGAAGGAGGGAGAGTGACCGGGGACCGGAGAACCGGTCTGAGGCCGTCATACGAGGCCTGGAAACATCTAGAACGCATCACCCAGCAGCTGGCACGTGGACGGGGTGTAGGGGAGGCGGAGCCCCATGGAACACCGTGTCGGACGACCGTGAGTACCACCGTCTATCGGGAGGCTCATCCAAGATAAAGATCTCCACTGTAGACCCCTCTTAATGTGTATTTTAACATCCAAGTCGTGGCAGACGAGTTGAGGGGAGGGGCAACACCCCGATAGACTGGATGGAGAGAGGGCGCAAGCTCCACACTTGGCTCCTCGATCTTATCTCTAGAGGCCTTTAACAAGTTATCCTAAGGACCAGAGAAAAAACGACCCTTAAGCAAATATTCTGAGAGATCAAAACCCTAGAAGCCTTTTGAAAGGGGGTTGTAAAAGAAAGGTCACCGCAGTGGTATGGAAAATCTTCCAAAGCAAAAATTTAAGATTAAACTAAATAGTCAGCGGACAAATTCCACTGTGGAAGACAAACTGACCACCTAGCAAAAAATCTGTTGAGTAAGATCTGAGCCCAAATGTGGGAGTAGTGACAGGTTTGGGCAGGAGGTGCCTAAGACAGCAACTCACCCAATAAAAACTGTAACCTACAGTCCCAATTTGGAGATAACCTCACTTGCAGAACAACGAAGAAAGAATCACAAGTGTAGGCCAGATCAGACTGATCACCTGAACCACCCTCTCCATGAACACAAATCTCTTAGTTCATACTGAAGCCGCGGAGCACCCGAGTGGGACTGAAGGAAGGGGACTTGTTCCTATCACTGCTGAGGCCATCCCATTGAACCATACTACTGAGGCCAACCCATTAAATTGTACTACTGAGGAATGAAACCATATTTAGGTGTTTGGCTTCTCGGAATTCTAGGATTGTAAGTATAATATAGTAATAACTTTTCTGGTTCAAATTATATAGTTAGTTGTAGTTGTAATTGTTTTAAAGAACTGCATTTAGAGTATTGTTCCATATATATAGTTATTATGTTTTTTATGTTTATGGTATTTCTTAAAATAAAATTGTGTTGTATAAATTAAGTGTGAAATCATTGTGAAATCGTGCAATTAGCTGAAAATTTCCCCGGTCAGTGCATCAAATGAATCAGTAAATTGTGTGGGATCTTCTCTATTCCATAACCCACTAGAGACACTTGACAATGGCCCTCACTTGTCAAAACCAGATTAGGCAAGCTAAGGCAGAAACTGAACTAAAACTAGCTACAAGAATCAAGGACAACAAGAAGTCCTTTAGCTACATAGGGGCTAAAAGAAAAACTAATGTGAGTGTGGGGCCGCTGCTCAATGCCTCAGGATACCTGGTCACTACCACTCAGGAAAAAAACAGAACTCCTAAATGACTACTTTGCCTCAGTCTTTCACAAGACCAAAGGGAACAACACTCCAGGTAGGGCACAGAATGAGCAGGGTGGGATTAACACCATTCCCACCATTGCAATAGAACTGGTGTATGATCAGTTACAGAAATTAGATGTATATAAATCAGCAGGACCAGATGAACTCCACCCAAGAGTGCTGCAAGTGTTGGCCAAAGTAATCGCAGAGCCCCTGGCAAAGGTCTTTTGAAAATCATGGGCCTCTAGAGAAATCCCAGAGAACTGGAAGAGGGCCACTGTTGTGCCCATCTTCAAGAAGGGGAAGCGTGAGGACCTGGGAAACTACAGGCCAATTAGCTTAACTTCTATTCCAGGGAAAATCCTAGATACATTCATCAAAGAGGCTATATATGACAAACTTGCAGAAGGCATGATACTAAATGACAGCCAGCATGGCTTTATAGCAAGAAACCTTTTTGCCCGCCCCCCGCCTCCCCTCAAATGTGAAGTTCCTCCATATGGCAAAAGCCCCTTTTGCAGTATTTGCCCCCTTTTGGGGATGCTTTCTCTTTTCTACATTTTCTTCCTTCCTCTCTCTCTTTCTTTTATTATATTATTATTATTATTATTATTATTATGTTTATATAATGTGTACTTGTAGTGAAAATAGAGCTTGTAGATGCTTTTACAAATGTACTTTAAGTTTAGAAGTCAGTTGTACTATGTAACAATGTTAGCAAGAGCAGGAATCTCTGTATGGAGCCAGTCCCTGAAGAAATCATGGTTGATTGTGTAACACAGTAGCTAGTCTGGATAAACAAGTTAATGAGCGGCAATTAACACCTACAAAACTACAGACCAAGAAGAGGAAAGAATCAATACAGAGCCAGGAACTCCCTGAAACTTAACTGTTAAGGGTGTGGAAGCCCCGGTTTGAACTAATCAACACTGGAAACAGACCCTTGGGGCTGAAATACCCCCTGATCAACCACTTCCAGAGCTCTATTCATCATGGCAGTTAATCAATCAAAATTCATCAGTGCACTCCTGAGACTGCACGTACCTGCGGACGTGACCCCTGGGGCTGACAGCTGCCATCCAGCAGCTACCAAGAGGAACGTCCCTCGAAGTCAACGACCCCTGAATTGGGTAAGCCCGAGAATTGGGGAGTCACCAAAGTCTGCCAGAGAGGGATAAAAGGCAGCAAAGAATGACTCCCAGTAGCACCCTCTTTGACCTGACCAGCACCCTGACTGTCCAATCAGAAGGACCAGCTGGCAACCCTCTTCTGAAGCAACATCGCACTGAAAGATTCTTTGACTGACCACTGACAGCAGACTCCAGTGCTTGGGGATAGGTATATCTTGATACCGGTGCTTAGTGTTCATAGCTAGGTACTGTGAGTATGTGTGTGCGTATGTGAATGTGTGTGTGTTTGAGGGGATCAGCACCAAGGTTTATGGTCTGACTTTTGCATCCGTCCAATAAACTAGAATTTTATGATGATACTTTGAGTTGGTGTTTTGTAGCCAACAGCTTCATCGCAGGTAGATCTTGTCTGATCAACCTCATTTCTTTCTATGATCATGTGACTAGTCAGCTGGATGAGAGAGAAGTGGTTGACATCATATACCTCGACTTCCAGAAAGCCTGTGGCCTGGTATCCCATGAGGTACTGATCAGAAAACTGGAAGATATTGGGCTCAACTGCCGGACTATCAAGTGGGTGTTAAACTGGTTGCAGTGTAGGATGCAGAGAGTCCAAATAAATGGATTGGTGTTGTCCTGGTGAGATGTGGGCAGCAGCATACCCCAGGGGTTGGTACTTGGCTCAGTGCTCTTCAACATCTTTTTCAATGACTTGGATGAGGGGGTGAAAAGCCCCTTGGCCAAGTTCATGGACAACACCAAGATATGGGGTTGTGCAGATACACCCGCAGATAGGCTACAGATACAAGCAGACCTAGACAGGCTGACATGTTGGGCAGAATGGAACAAGATGAGGTTCAACATAGAGAAATGTCAAGGGCTGCATCTGGGAAGGAAGAACCCCCAGCACACCTACACGCTGGGCATTGCTAACCTGACCAGCACTATGAATGAAAGGGATCTGGGGGTAACAATAGACCCCAGTATGAATATGAGTCAACAATGCAACGCAGTAGCTGCTAGGGCCAATAAAACTCTGGCATGCATGAATCAATGCATCTCCAGTAAAACCAAAGTAGTGATTCTCCTGCTTTACTCAACATTGGTGTGGCTGCAGCTGGAGTATTGCGTCCCATTCTGGGCATTGCACTTCAACGAGGACATGCTAAAGCTCAAGAGGGTCCAGAGAAGGGCTACCCATATGATCAGGGACTTGCATGGCAAGTCATACGAAGAGAGACTGAGGGATCTCGGACTCTTCAGCCTAAAGAAAAGAAGGCTGAGAGGGGACCTGATTGCAGATTACCGCTATATCCAAGGCATATATCAGGGGCTCGGTGAACAACTGTTCACATTAGGAAAAACTTCTTCACAACTAGGGTGTCCAGACTATGGAACAAGCTTCCTTCAGAGGTGGTGCAATCATTTACCCTAGAGGTCTTCAGGAGAAGACTGGATGGTCACCTGGCTGGGATCACCTGACCCCCAGATCCCTTTCCTGCTCTTGCAGGGGGCTGCACCCAATGATCCTTCGAGGTCCCTTCCAGCCCTATGATTCTATGATTATAACTGGTATTTGTTACAGGTTCAAAGATTTTTGTATAGAAAATGAAACGTTCTCAGCAGCTATGTTTTCTCTCATTGACAATAGTAATCTTAGGTTAAATCTTGGCAGGTTATTTCCTGCCTTACTTAGTCAAATCCACACTGACTTCAATGGGAGTGTGATTGAGCAAAAACCTCATGAATTCCATTTAAAAAAAAATGTTCCAAGCTGAAGTGACACCTCAAGTTTCTGTTCTAGATTGTGCTGTTTCTTTTTTCTCAAAGCAACAGTTTCTGAAGTAAGTGCTGTTATTTTTTTCCTTATCTGCAAGAAAATTCCTCTTCCAAAATTTTTGCTGATATGCAAAGCCTTTCAAGAAAAACTTGAATTTCC